TTACATGCAACAAACGAAAAAGGATGAACATCAGTGTAACTTAGTGAAAAAGTTTGTAAAACGAAATTAATGACCATACCTAAGTTTAGATGGATGTTTACAGTGTAAATAAATATTTATAATAAGATATTATTGTGTATGCATATAACCTTTTCTGGAATGGATAAAAATGAATATATCTTTAATGGAATTACTGTTCAATACTTATATTTGTTCAATCTTTTATGAACATTTCCATTTTGGAGAAAGTTGCTACAGATGCAGACTGACCTTCAAGTTAAAATTTACTTTGAAACAAATTCTGTAAAAGTGATGTCTTTAACAATCATACATAGTACAGCCACTTGTATCTACATTCTATTACTCTCTCTATGCTACTGATTTATAAAATAATATCTCCTAGAACACTAACTACTAATGATTATTATAACATTTTCTTGATATTGATTTTTTAAAATGTTTTATTTTCTCATATTTTCATATTTCTTAGGTGTACAAGCACATAATCACCAAGGAGTTAATTACTAGGCCTAACTGACCTCAGCTGTTTACCCAATTCCATGAAATCTTGAGATAGTATCTATTTCAAATACTATTATTACCATTAGGAACATAATCATGATTATCATCATTAACATTATGGTAATGTTATTAAAATTACTAACAGCAGGTTATAAAATCAATTCTTTGCAAAAAAGAAAGTATATGGCAGACTGAGAAGATCAGATAAGCCTTTTCATTGACTCCATGTAGAATCACAAACAAAATTGATTAATTAAACCCCTGCAGTCAACAGAGAGTATATACATGCCATCTAAGAATCAATAGGTTAAGAAAAGAGTCTCAGCAGTTCATTTATTAGGATGAAGAACTTGAAACCTGATGTAAATATTGTGCAAATCCTTTATTTTACATTTAGAAGGAGGAAAATTAGAAGAATTTTGCACTTCACACAAAATGTTTATTAAAAGTTGAAAGTAAAATCAGTATGCTTTATAATTCTATATAACTAAAATTAATGATCATACATTTGCAATCAAAACTCTGTATGGAACTTTAGTAACCAATCTTAAAATTAAAATATAGCTGTTAAAACTGTTAGAGTTAAAATATAACTGATACACTTATTAAGGTTAAGGCCGTCAGGATGTAGAGGAATGATGCATCAAAGAACAGTGACTGTTTTTAGTTGCTTATTGGTACAGTGTAGTTTTTCAAACCTTCATGTATCGTTCTGCAATAGAAAAGAAAGGAGACCAAGTTACTAACTTATTCCTATTTTCTTTTTCTTTTTTTTTTTTTCTTTTCCTTTTTCCTACTTTGTTTCAGTTTTCCTTTTTTTCATTCAGTGTTCAAGTTAAAAGAGGTAAAGAATTCTTACGTCATCATGGAGTTGTTCCCTAAGCCACACCAGTTTTTGAAATCGTCATTGTCAATAGCCCAGTTCATGGCCCCAAGGTAGCCATGCTCTCGAATATAGTCCACCTTGATCTTTAGGCTCTTGGGGTCTTCGTACCCAATCCACTGGTCTTCTGGAGAAAAGGGTGATTTTTCAATACATACTGAGTCACAGCAGTGCATTTGACAGTGTGAAAGTATGATTGTATCATTATTATCTAGCTGTTAGTTTTTGTAAAGTTACAGGCTATGTGGGGAAATTTTCATTATATATAAAGAAAAGTGTACATTTCTTCAAATTTATATACTTGTGTTTAATGATAACTGTGAATAATATTCCCTATGGCGAGTGCAGTAGCAGAAAAAAAGAGAGAGAAAAGTAAAAGTAATTGAAAATTATATATTTTTTAAAAAGTAAAGCTTTGAGGACTGTTCCAAGTGTTTAATAAGATATAAAATAATAACAAGAAAATGTTTACATTAAAAACACTTGTAACTGCATGTACAAGAATGTGTAAAGGTGTTCTCACATCTTTTGCTTTAATGGTATTATTCATGTAGAATAATGTACACAGTACTGTAAAGCATGACTTCATGACTTCAAAAGGACAAGAAATTATCTTACCTATGTATATATAAGGAACTAAATCTTTATTATCCCTTTCTCTTGTCCAATTAGAGTCATTCCTCAATACACAGATCTAGTGTAAAAATTCCGATTAAGTATCATGTTTACAGTACTCATACAAATGAGTATTATGATCAAGGCACAAGATTTATACTGGTATATTTCAAGGCAATCATGTCTAGGTCCAATTTATAAACAAATATACACTTGCAAGTCTCTTGGTGTTCATTAAAAAAACGGTAAACCCCCTTGCGCACTATACTTTTAAAATAATTGCCTGTGATTTACATAGTCTCTCTTCAGTCTAGCAAAAACTGGGGGATAGAAGCAGCTTACAAGTACAACTCACATGATATTACTAATTGGCAGCATGAATACACGTCTCTAATTACTAATTAAGACACGTCGGTTTGGTTATTCCACTTTCCTCGCAGATCATAGCCCATAAGGTGCACTGCGTCAACTATCCTGAAGTAATGTATTTATTCATGTTCCATAAAAGAATATATTTCTTGTTTTCATTATGTACCCACCCATTATAAAGACACAATCTTGGTAACTACATTAAAATCTTGGCAAAGAATATCACAGTACATCACTCCAGGATGTACATTTCATTAAATGCATCAAATGAAGACTATTTTTATTCATTTTAGCCATTGTTGCTGCTGTTAGTTGTACCTGCACAGTTCTGTAACGTTATATCCATCATCCAATCTGTATCTCACGATAGGAACTGCCATGGTCAGCTCTAGGCTTTGGCTCACGTTATCCAGGGCCGCCCGTAATTCCTTCATCTAATTAGAGCATGGGGCATCATTGGCCAGGTAGCATTACGCTATTTAATGGTCTTATCTTAAAAAGATAATAATAATAGTAAAATAATTGCATATATCAACTTTTTTTTATTGAACTGAGGAGATGGGAGTTACCAGTAACAGAAAATTTTCTTTATCATGAGTGGTATTGGGATACTCCCAGTCTACATCAACACCATCGAACCCATATTCCTTTACACAATCTGAAAATATAGCAGATTCATATGATGATTACACATCAACCAAATGGCTAACAGACTCACACACATTATCATGTTGGCAATATCTCTCTCTCTCTCCCTCTCTCTCTCTCCCTCTCTCCCTCCCTCACCCTCTCTCTCTCTCCCTCTCCCTCTTCCCCCTCTCCCACTTTCCCCTCTCCCTCTTCTGCCTCTCCCTCTTCTCCCTCTCCCACTTCCCCCTCTCCCTCTTCCCCCTCTCCCACTTCCCCCTCTCCCTCTTCTCCCTCTCCCTCTTCCCCCTCTCCCTCTTCTCCCTCTCCCTCTTCCCCCTCTCCCTCTTCTCCCTCTCCCTCTTCTTCCTCTTCCTCTCCCTCTTCTCCCTCTCCCTCTTCTCCCTCTCCCTCTTCTTCCTCTCCCTCTCCCTCCTCCTCCCTCTCCTCCATCACTCACTTTTAACGCTCTTGGTGAAATTGTCTCTCCGCTCCTTATCGCTGGCCATCTGCGAGAAGACCTTAGTGACCTCTTCGCCATCGCCGCCAATGCTAATGGTCGCAGTGAGGCCTGGGTAGCTCTTCTTCAACCCGACAAACCTTACGTAACCGCCTTCATTAACGTCGAACTTATGGAGAAGAAAGGATTGGAATCATTGCGTTTGTGGAGATCTGGGATGGTCTATAATTATCTGTAATACACAATGTGCTGTTTCAGAAGATATTGCAATACCGGAAGTCTATTAGGAGAGTACTGGTTGCATTAATCAAGACGCGATAATCTTAGAGAATTGGTTCCTTCCCCTAAATTCTAGGTGTGAAATTCATTACCAATTGCGTACCCATCGAGTTTTTAACCGGCATTCCGGTACTGAACTCACTAACTGTATTGGACCTTGTAAAACTAAAATGTTGTTAGATAAATATCAATGAAAAATAACAATATATCAGTCATGTCACGTACTTCCTGAAATCCAATATTTGATTTCTTACAATTACATAAGTATACTGTACATGATAAGCGCAATATTCCTGTCACACAGTACTTGCAAATCGGATTCATGCGTGACCTTTGTATGTCGGTCTTCAGACTAACATGGCGGCTACGATGCGTTTCTATATTTTCTATAGACTGGCTCCTCCACATGCCTGAGTTTATATTTGCATTCTTTTTATCAGCTTGTAAGTAAATTTACAGTATTCCCAGATCATACTACGTTTCTAACGTCTAATTTATGTATTGGCTTAAACGAAAGGGGTATTTCATGGGGAGTTCTTTTTAATCAAACATTGATCTTGATCATGCATATTTACTTTCAGATCAAATCTTGAGAACTTGCACGTTTCTATTTGTTTCTGGTCATACGGGACTCATCCATCAGGCATTCCATTTATTGCTACGCGCTTGTGAGAACGCTTATTTTGCCATTACTAACGTCTGTTTTTTTTTCGAATTCAAGTATGTAATGCATTCTACTAGTTTTATTATACTTCTTTTCCCGTCTTTAGGGAATTATTTATTGTGTAAAATAGCCTTGTGCGCATGCGCGTTTTGACAGGCCGTGCGACGCCATTCGCTGAGAAATGCCGGAGAAAAACGATGGGTTTGGTTCCCGTAGATTTTTTCTCTCGAAAGCTGGCGCATCGGACCGTAGACTTTCAAAAATGCCGGTGACGTCCGTAGAGTTTCATTAGCCGATTTCAAGCTTTTTTTTTTTTTTTTTTTTTTTTTTTTACACATTTCTGTTCTCTATTTTGCTTGTATCAGCTTGTTTTACCCTGTAATTTCCCTGATCTACTTCATGCCCTCCCCTGCTGTCGGGACTTATCAAATCACATCAAGATTGTCGGCTGAAGAATGCGACGGAGATTATAATCAGATTCGTTCTCATTACACGAGAACAAATCTGATGATATAAATATTGTCAGGGAAGACACGAGTGTCATTTTTGGAAAATTAACCATTTCCTGAACTTCAGCTCCTCAGCCATGGCAGATCGACGATGGATGGCATCATGCTTATGGCTGTCATTAATCGTGACATGTGGATCACTGCAACAAATCCTCGCTTCTGAGTGTAAGCCAAACGAAGAAAACAAACATATCATTCAACTTCCTGTGATTATACAATTCACATGATAAATAGCCCAGACATTCTTTTAGAATGAAATATTTCTGACCAGGACTCGAACCTTGGTCACTCCAGGTATGAACCGGAGGACCTTCACTAAACCAGCCATAGCATACAACCCACTATTGATATTTCTTTATCAGAGCGGTATTCCATTATTCCAACTTTCAATAAAAATCCTTATAAATTACCATATACACTTCACAGCTGAGCCCGAGATCGTGTCAGGCAAGCCAGCGAGAAGGGTTTGTTACTACCAGGCAGCCACCGTCTACCGCCCTCGGGGTTTCGGCTACAGGATCGAGGACATCCCAGGCGACCTCTGTTCCCATATCATCTACGCTTTCGCTGACATCTCCGGCAGCACGTGGGAGGTCAAGTATTCGAATGAAAGTGTAAGGTCACAAGGTTTGTTTAGATATTAGATATTACTGAACTTGACAAAGGCACGGTCGCGAAGTTTGGAATATTATATGGTGAGAAAAGTTGAAGGCATGACCAGAAACAAATAGAAACGTGCAAGTTCTCAAGATTTGATCTGAAAGTAAATATGCATGATCAAGATCAATGTTTGATTAAAAAGAATTCCCCCAGGAAATACCCCTTTCGTTTAAGCCAATACATGAATTAGACGTTAGAAACGTAGTATGATCTGGGAATACTGTAAATTTACTTACAAGCTGATAAAAAGAATGCAAATATAAACTCAGGCATGTGGAGGAGCCAGTCTATAGAAAATATAGGAACGCATCGTAGCCGCCATGTTAGTCTGAAGACCGACATACAAAGGTCACGCATGAATCCGATTTGCAAGTACCGTGTGACAGGAATATTGCGCTTATCATGTACAGCAGTGGTTCCCAAACTGGGGGCCATGGCCCCCTGGGGGGCTATATAGCAGAATGTAGGGGGCCATAATCTGAGGCTATGTAGAGATAAAATCAAAGGAGTTTAGCGGGTAAGCAGCCAGTGGAGGGAACTTACAGGTTCAGTACAGGTTTGTGCAATGCCTTAATAATGCAGTTTTTAATTACTCTAAGTATGGAGATTGTTTTATGTGCATTATATTACTTCTTCAGTACCATTTCAATGATTATATGAGATTTAGCAAAGGAAAATTACAAATTTCTTATTTAATACTTAACAAAAGAAAAAAATAACAAATGGAATCAATAAAATTACAGGATTTGCTAGAGTGGTTTTTATATGGACCTAATGAGTGTAGGACTGTAGACAGTCACTGTAGTCACGGGTTATGGTTGGGGGTGGGGACAAGGATCATGTATGAAAAGTGGGTAACGACCAGAAAAAGTTTGGGAACCACTGATGTACAGTATACTTATGTAATTGTATAAAATCAAATATTGGATTTCAGGAAGTACGTGACATGACTGATATATTGTTATTTTTCATTGATATTTATCTAACAACTTGTTTAATCCTAATAGTTTTACAAGGTCCAATACAGTTAGTGAGTTCAGTACCGGAATGCCGGTTAAAAACTCGAAGGGTACGCAATTGGTAATGAATTTCACGCCTTGAATTTAGGGGAAGGAACCAATGCTCTAAGATTATCGCGTCTTGATTAATGCAACCAGTACTCTCCTAATAGACTTCCAGTATTGCAATATCTTCTGAAACAGCACATTGTGTATTACAGATAATTATAGACCATCCCAGATCTGTACATACGCAATGATTCCAATCCTTTCTTCTCCATAAGTTCGACGTTAATGAAGGCGGTTACGAAAGGTTTGTCGGGTTGAAGGAGAGCTACCCAGGCCTCACTGCGACCATTAGCATTGGCGGCGATGGCGAAGAGGTCACTAAGGTCTTCTCGCAGATGGCCAGCGATAAGGAGCGGAGAGACAATTTCACCAAGAGCGTTAAAAGTGAGTGATGGAGGAGAGGGAGGAGGAGGGAGAGGGAGAGGAAGAAGAGGGTGAGGGAGAAGAGGGAGAGGGAGAAGAGGGAGAGGAAGAGGCAGAAGAGGGAGAGGGGGAAGTGGGAGAGGGGGAAGAGGGAGAGGGGGAAGTGGGAGAGGGAGAAGAGGGAGAGGCAGAAGAGGGAGAGGGGGAAGTGGGAGAGGGGGAAGAGGGAGAGGGAGAGAGGGAGAGAGAGAGAGAGAGGGTGAGGGAGGGAGAGAGGGAGAGAGAGAGAGAGGGAGAGAGAGAGAGAGAGAGAGATTGCCAACATATAATGTGTGTGAGTCTGTTAGCCATTTGGTTGATGTGTAATCGTCAAATGACCCTGCTATATTTTCAGATCGTGTAAAGGAATATGGGTTCGATGGTGTTGATGTAGACTGGGAGTATCCCAGTACCACTCATGAGAAAGAAAATTTTCTGTTACTGGTAACTCCCATCTCCTCAGTTCAATATAAAAAAGTTGATATATGCAATTATTTTACTATTATTATTATCTTTTTAAGATAAGACCATTAAATAGCGTAATGCTACCTGGCCAATGATGCCCCATGCTCTAATTAGATGAAGGAATTACGGATAGCCCTGGATAACGTGAGCCAAAGCCTAGAGCTGACCATGGCAGTTCCTATCGTGAGATACAGATTGGATGAAGGATATAACGTTACAGAACTGTGCAGGTACGACTAACAGCAGCAACAATGGCCAAAATGAATAAAAATAGTCTTCATTTGATGCATTTAATGAAATGTACATCCTGGAGTGATGTACTGTGATAGTCTTTGCCAAGATTTTAATGTAGTTACCAAGATTGTGTCTTTATAATGGGTGGGTGCATAATGAAAACAAGAAATATATTCTTTTATGGACCATGAATAAATACATTACTTCAGGATAGTTGATGCAGTGCACCTTATGGGCTACGATCTGCGAGGAGAGTGGAATCACCAAACCGACGTGCATTCAATGCTCTATCGAAGGCCTAAGCTTGACTTTGGTAGTTACGAAGAAATAAACTTGGTGAGTTGACTAACATCACAAGTACCTTTTCCCATCATCAGATGACAAAACTGTTTGGACCACACTTTGATATTCCTGTAAATTATAAACTGAAGTCCCATCTTTGACGAGCAGAGTGACGGTTCACTTCTCTGGGAGGAATTTGGATGCCCACGAGACAAGCTGGTGCTAGGAGTGCCCTTCTATGGACGAAGCTTCACACTATCTAATTCTTCTGAACATGGACTCCATGCCCAGATCACTGGGCTTGGGAATCCAAGTCCTATATTAAGAGATCCTGAAGTACTGACATACTTTGAGGTAGGAAACATTTATAATCTGATTATCAGAGAAACTGTTGAATGAGCAGAACCTTCTTGCGGACTGACAGTGGTACACCAATTTTTTCGCCTGTCTGTCGTGTCTTAATCAATAATTAGAGACGTGTATTCATGCTGTCAATTAGTAATATCATGTGAGTTGTACTTGTAAGCTGCTTCTATCCCCCAGTTTTTGCTAGACTGAAGAGAGACTATGTAAATCACAGGCAATTATTTTAAAATTATAGTGCGCAAGGAGGTTTACCGTTTTTTTTTTAATGAACACCAAGCAACTTGCAAGTGTATATTTGTTTATAAATTGGAACATGATTGCCTTGAAATATACCAGTATAAATCTTGTGCCTTGATCATAATACTCATTTGTATGAGTACTGTAAACATGATACTTAATCGGAATTTTTACACTAGATCTGTGTATTGAGGAATGACTCTAATTGGACAAGAGAAAGGGATAATAAAGATTTAGTTCCTTATATGTACAAAGGTAAGATAATTTCTTGTCCTTTTGAAGTCATGCTTTACAGTACTGTGTACATTAGTCTACATGAATAATACCATTAAAGCAAAAGATGTGAGAACACCTTTACACATTCTTGTACATTCAGTTACAAGTGTTTTTAATGTAAACATTTTCTTGTTATTATTTTATATCTTATTAAACACTTGGAACAGTCCTCAAATATTTACTTAAAAAAAAAATCATAATTTTCAATTACTTTTACTTTTCTCTCTTTTTTTAGCAGAACTACTGCACTCGCCACAGGGAATATTATTCACAGTTATCATTAAACACAAGGATATGAATTTGAAGAAATGTACACTTTTCTTTATATATAATGAAAATTTCCCCACATAGCCTGTAACTTTACAAAAACTAACAGCTAGATAATAATACAATCATACTTTCACACTGTAAAAAGCACTGCTGTAACTCTATATGTATTGAAAAATCACCCTTTTCTCCAGAAGACCAGTGGATTGGGTACGAAGACCCCAAGAGCCTAAAGATCAAGGTGGACTATATTCGAGAGCATGGCTACCTTGGGGCCATGAACTGGGCTATTGACAATGAAGATTTCAAAAACTGGTGTGGCTTAGGGATCAACTCCATGATGACGTAAGAATTCTTTACCTCTTTTAACTTGAACACTGAATGAAAAAAGGAAAACTGAAACAAAGTAGGAAAAGGGAAAAGAAAAGAAAAAAAATAGGAATATGTTAGTAACTTGGTCTCCTTTCTTTTCTATTGCAGAACGATGCATGAAGGTTTGAAAAACTACACTGTACCAATAAGCAACTAAAAACAGTCACTGTTCTTTGATGCATCATTCCTCTACATCCTGACGGCCTTAACCTTAATAAGTGCATCAGTTATATTTTAACTCTAACAGTTTTAACAGCTATATTTTAATTTTAAGATTGGTAACTAAAGTTCCATACAGAGTTTTGATTGCAAATGTATGATCATTAATTTTAGCTATATAGAATTATAAAGCATACTGATTTTACTTTAAACTTTTAATAAAGATTTTGTCAGTTGTATTTTAAGTTATACAGTTTTAACAAATATATTTCAATTTGAAGATTTGTTACTAAAGTTCCATACAGAGTTTTGATTGCAAATGTATGATCATTAACTTTAGTTATATAGAATTATAAAGCATACTGATTTTACTCTCAACTTTTAATAAACATTTTGTGTGAAGTGTAAAATTCTTCTAATTTTCCTCCTTCTAAATGTAAAATAAAGGATTTGCACAATATTTACATCAGGTTTCAAGTTCTTCATCCTAATAAATGAACTGCAGAGACTCTTTTCTTAACCTATTGATTCTTAGATGGCATGTATATACTCTGTTGACTGCAGGGGTTTAATTTATCAATTTTGTTTGTGATTCTACATGGAGTCAATTAAAAGGCTTATCTGATCTTCTCAGTCTGCCCTATACTTTCTTTTTTGCAAAGAATTGATTTTATAACCTGCTGTTAGTAATTTTAATAACATTACCATAATGTTAATGATGATAATCGTGATTATGTTCCTAATGGTAATAATAGTATTTGAAATAGATACTATCTCAAGATTTCATGGAATTGGGTAAACAGCTGAGGTCAGTTAGGCCTAGTAATTAGCTTCTTGGTGATTATGTGCTTGTACACCTAAGAAATATGAAAATATGAGAAAATAAACGACATTTAAAAAAAATGAATATCAAGAAAATGTTATAATAATCATTAGTAGTTAGTGTTCTGGGAGATATTATTTTATAAATCAGTAGCATAGAGAGAGTAATAGAATGTAGATACAAGTGGCTGTACTATGTATGAACTGGCTTATTGAGGCAATCCTTTGGACATGATTGCAAATTACTTTTCATTAAATTATTATGAAATTACTTCACAAATTTCATAAAACAAGCATTGTTAAAGATATCACTTTCACAGAATTTGTTTCAAAGTAAATCTTGACTTGAGGGTCAGTCTGCATCTGTAGCAACTTTCTCCAAAATGGAAATGTTCATAAAAGATTGAACAAATATAAGTATTGAACAGTAATTCCATTAAATATATATTAATATTTATTCATTCCAGAAAAGGTTATATGCATACACAATAATATCTTATCATAAATATTTATTTACACTGTAAACATCCATCTAAACTTAGGTATGGTCATTAATTTCGTTTTACAAACTTTTTCACTAAGTTACACTGATGTTCATCCTTTTTCGTTTGTTGAATTTAATAATTTTGGCTCCATTTCCTCCGAAATACGTTTTCTGAGACCTCTACATGATCATTTGAGGAATTTCAATGTACCGTCATTACTTGGAAACTGTTTCTGTTCTGTAATTATGGCTGGCGACAGAAATAAACCCCATTTTACTTGTGTGACTTTTGGAGGGTGAAGTCATAATTAACATGGTCAAAGGAACCAACTCTGTGAGTGACTTCAGGGAAGAGCTTCCAGCCACAGTCCTTCGAGTCCTTGTAGAGGATGGCGCACACACCCAGGAAGAAGGCTGTGGGCACTCCAACACGGAAGCTTCGTGCTGAAAAAATTAAAGATACAAAAAAATAAACAATAAAAAATATATTTATAAGTAGTAAATAAATAAACTATAAATGAATAAATATTAATAAACAATAAACAAATAACTACAAATAAACAATAAACAAATAAACAATAAACAAATAAATACAAATAAACAATAAGAAGTATATATTCAAAAATAAGTAAATATAAACAAACAATTGAATAAATAAAAATAAAAACATAACTATATACAGCATAATGGTGAAAAAGAGACATGGCTTTTCAGATAAAGTCTGACACTCACACCCGAGTTATCTAAATTTCTAAGGTTTAATTTTGCATAAATCTCATCAGGTCTGGCGAGTTGCCCGGATCATGAAATTGACTCGGTTTCTCCAAACGTTCCTGTCACTCATTGCCGTCTTGAGATCATCAACTTTTTGTAGATCCGCGTCTTGTAAAAGTTGTTGTGTGTATGTTTTCTTTGGCCGTCCAGCTCTTGCTTGGCCATGACTGGGTGTCCATAGTAGGAGTTCGCTAGCTAGTTGGTTTTTGCTAGTTCACAGTGCCCTGCGAATCTCATCGTTTGGTCTTTGATGGTAGTTGTTATTAGTGGGATGTTTTCGTACAGCTCTGTTTGTCGGGTGTTGTTGCCACGGTTTATTCAAAATAGCTCGTAACATTCTCGAGTATGTACCATTGAGTTTTTGTTTCAGAGATTTTGTGAGGGTCCAGGCAGATGAGTACCGTTTCGACTACTGCTCTGAAGAAATTCCTTTTGAGATCATCTGGCAGGTTGGATTTCCATATGATGTTGAGCTTATTAAGTGCACTCCAGGCTTTAGTTATTCGGGCAGAGATATCCATTTCAGATGGTGCAATGTCACTTCCAAGGTACACAAATTTCTCTACATTCTTAAGGTGGCTTCCATTTATTGTTTTCACTTCGCCCTCTTGGTTGAAACACATTTATTCTGTTTTCTTTGCATTTTTATACAGACCCACACCAGCTGCTGCCTTTTCGAGTGAGTGGAGTAGCGTTTCCGCGTCTGTGAGTTTGTCAGAGAACAAAGCGAGATCATCTGCATAATCAGCGTCTGTGATCTTTTTTGCAGGATGCCGCTTACTTTGTCTTTTCAACAATGTGAGACCATGGTATTTCAGAGGATCGATAGCAGCGCGCAGAACATAGTCAAGGACTAGAATGAACAGGAAGGGTGCCAGTGTAACACAAAGAGGCCAAGGGCCAGGCCTATGCGGTGGTGTAGATAGGACATTTTATAGGGGGAGCAAGAAATGCAGATTTTCCAACAAAAAATTATTAAGCATTTTCGTTTCTTTATGATTATTTTCCGACAAGATTAGCAATTTTCCGACAAAATGGCAGTTTAGCTCTAGAGGGGGGTTTTCCGCCCCCCCTGACCCCCTTCTTTCTACGCCACTGGAACCATGACAAGATGATCTGGTGAGCCAGACCAGAGGGCTACCCATACTGGAGGGGTCACCAGTGAGGGATGAGACAAAATGGCTTCCTGGTGCACCAAGGCCTATGAGAGGGGATGGTGCACCCACCCCTGGTTCATTCCATCTTGGACCAGGGAGAACTCTCCCACGTGTGTCTGCCGTGCGTGGCGTCCCGTATTGCCGGGAGACGGGAGTCCTGGAGGTTGAGCGATGCTGCATGCTGCGCCCTGCAGCTGGCAACACGCCTCTTTGGTCCTCTATTCTGGTTAGATGGGTGGCTTGATCAAGGCCCGGTCAAGTCAATCGGCTGGTCAATATGGCTAGGGTCAAGCAGGCACTGTTCAGTCGGCAGCGAATGGGTCCCGCGACTACCATCAGCACTGTAATGGTGACTGCGTATATTTCCTCACTACCCCTGTGGCTGTTGGGAAATAGCTTCCCTCGGTGGACTCCATGGTGGGATGGTAGCCTGATAGTTAAGGTATCCTCACCAGATGAGAGTGACCGTTTGTGTACAATATGCGACATTCCTCGGGCTCAAGTCTCATGTTTCCTCACAAAACCCTCAATCAGTGTAAGGGAATTGTCTTTTCCCGAGACCTGATGAGGTATTCTGAGGAGAAACTGTTAGAAGAACTGAAGAATTTTAATGTAGTAGCAGTAAAACGTTTTAAGAAGAAAGTTGATGGTTTGGAACAGTCGACACCAGCTCTTCTTCTAACCTTTGAATCCTTAGTCCTTCCTGAATCGGTTAAGTTGGCATGGTACCACCTCAAGGTCAAACCATATGTACCAAACCCTATGTGGTGTTTCCTCTGCCAGGGTTATGGGCACGGAGCCAACACTTGCCGTTTTAAGGAAAGTGGGCAACCAAGAGTGTGTGTGAAGTGTGGTACAACAGGTCATCAAGGAGATGACAACTGTCCAGGTCCAATATGCTGTTACCACTGCAAAGAAGATCATGGAGCGTCTTCTAAGCAATGTAAAAGGTACAGATTCGAAAAAGAAGTATTGGTAATAAGAAGCAAGGAGAAAGTTTTGCAGAAGCAAAGCGACGTGCCCATGTGCTATTTACACAGCCGGGTAAGTCCTTTGCCTCAGTTCTAGCCCATCCTCCTTCCTGCCATTCCTTACCCTCCAATACCTCTAACACCACACACTCTGCCACTACAGTTAAACATCAGTCCTCAAATGCTGAAACTGATTCTGGTGAGTTGGTCCACCAGAAACGAAGTAGGAGTGAGGGGTCTATTGAGGAGACTCCTCCTCCCAAAGTAAGGTCTTTGGAGCTATCACTTAAGGCTCCAGAGACCTCAACTGTGACAGCTCCAGCTGCCAACACTGCTGCTAGGCAGAATGCCCCTGAAGCAAAGGCTCAGGTATGTCCTTTGTACAGGCAGAGGAATCCTGAGCCTGTTCAAAAGACTCCTCATAGAGTCGGGTCTTTGGAGCCACCAGGCAGGGCTCCAGAGGCCACCACATCCACAGGGGCCTCTGCTGCTAAACAGAATGCTCCTGAACCAAAGGCTCAGGTCCGTCCTTTGCCCAAGCAAAGAAATCCTGAGCCTGTCCAAAGGAAGCCTGTGGAAACTAGTTCCATAGGTAAACAAACCATCAAAAGATTCTGGAAAGGGACAGCCTAAAGGTGTGGGGCGGACCTTAACCACAGGTGCTGCCAAACACCTTATGAAGTAGCTTATGAACTTGAAGAACTGGATACACTAATCCAGTGGAATTGTCAGGGAATTCATGCAAAATGGGAAGAACTGCAACATCTGATAGCTTCTTGTAATCCAGTTTGTGTATGCCTACAAGAGATTATGACCAGGGAAAATCGTCCAATTTCCCTGAGAAGATTCCAAGTTCAAGCCCATTATGGGAGCTTTGATAATGGACCTCATGGAGGAGTAGCAGTGATGGTACATCAGGATTCCCTGCGGATGACAGATGACACTGCAGGTGAAGGCCGTGAGAATAACCTTGACACGACCTGACACTGTTACATCCACTTACCTCCCTCCACATAATCTCAACATAGATGATTTGGAAGATCTACTTGGGCAGTTGCCTCATCTATTTCTACTCTTGGGAGACTTCAATGGTCGCCATCACCTCTGGGGAGACACTTTGTGCAACCCTCGAGGAAGGGCCTTGGAGTCCTTGTTCTCAAGAGTAGATGCAGTTTTACTGAATAGTGATGCACCCACACATTTCCAAATTCAAACCGGGACATTCTCATATATTGACTTGTCAGTTGGTTCACCTGATTCACAGTTGAATTTCACTTGGCAGGTCATGGAAGACTTACATGGAAGTGACCACTTTCCAATACTTTTGGAAGAGGTGAATGATATTCCAGCCAATGGAGTGCAGAGATGGCGACTTAAACATGCAGACTGGAATCTTTTTAGATCAACTGCAGTATTGCAAGGATCTGTAAATGACTTCCAGTCTGTTCAAGATGCTGTTAATCACTTCACATCGTGGATTCACCTTGTAGCAGAAGCATCAATTCCCAAAAGTAGCGGGCAGTACCGTCGACCTCCGGTACCATGGTGTCTGATGAATGCCAACAAGCTGTCAGAACAAGAAGAGCTGCATTAAGGCAGTTGAAAGGACACCCAAGCGATGTAACCTTGATCCAGTACAAGAAGACCCGAGCCAAGGCCAGGCGAGTGCTAAAGGAGGCTAGACGGACATCGTGGAGGCAGTATGTCTCCTTGATTAACTCTGGGACCCCCTTAGCATGGGTATGGGACAAGGAGCGTATGATCGCTGGGAAGAGCACATCCATATCACCACCTGCTCTGAAAATAGATGGCATAATCCTCACAGACAAAATAGATGTTGCAAATGAGCTGGCGAAATCCATGGCAGAGATCTCGTCTGGAGCATCTTACACTGCTTGATTCTCCACTCTTCGGGCTGAATAGGAATGACACCCAGTGTCGTTCTTCAGTAGCACTGCAACAGAACTTTCATACAACTTGCCATTTTTGCATAAAGGAGATGGACTCTGCTTTGCAGCTCTGTCGTAAGACTACCCCAGGAAGTGACAATATTCCAAACCAAATGATATCTCACTTACCGGAGAGCTCCCAAACGTTCCTGTTGAATCTATTCAACAGGATCTATAGGGAGGGCACAGTGCCATCCAAATGGAAAGAAGCTATAATCATTCCTATCACTAAACCTGGGAAGGATGCTCCTATACTAGGGAATTATAGACCAATTTCTCTCACCAACTGCATCTGCAAGTTGATGGAGAAAATGGTAAACATGGCTGCTAGAAAAAGAAAACGTGCTAACCCCATATCAATATGGGTTTAGAGATCGACCACAGATGCACTTGTGAGGATGGAAACTGCTATATAAAATTCCTTCCCACAGCGACGCCATATGTTAGCAGTCTTCTTGACCTTGAAAAGGCTACGACTTGGAAGCATGGCATACTCATGAAGCTGTATGACATTGGTTTAAGAGGAGTATTGCCAACCTTCATACAAAGCTTCCTTGCTAACGGGAAGTTTAGAGTGAGGGTGGGAAACAGCTTTTTTAACCTGGAAGATCAGTTGGAAGGGGTCCCACAAGGGAGAGTCTTAAGTGTGACCCTGTTTGCCATTGCTATAAATGACATCGTAAAGGTCGTTCCAAGTGCTGTCTCATGTAGTCTGTATGTGGATGACTTTACACTGTACTGCTCAGGAGAAAGCATTCAGGATGTGCAAGGACACATGCAGACTGCAATAAATCAGGTTGTGCAATGGGCAACATACCATGGGTTCAAATTTTCTCCAAGCAAGACCATAGCTATGCATTTCCACAAACGAGGAAAGGTCCATCCTTCCCTCTATTTAGGAGCAAACCCATTGCATTTTGTCCAACAGGTAAAGTACTTGGGTCTAATTTTTGACTCAAAGCTTACATGGGCGCCTCACATTAAAGAGTTAAAGGTAAAAGCTACAAAAGCGCATAGTATTTTGCGGGTTCTTTCACACCTATCTTGGGGTGCCGACCGCACACCGCTTCTGCGACTTTACCGAGCACTTATTCGTAGTAAGATCGACTATGGCTGCGAGGCATATTCATCTGCAACTCCCACTGTTCTTCGGATGTTGGATTCGGTTCATAATGAAGCTCTGAAAATCTATATAGGGGCTTTCAGATCTTCATCTGTGGAGTCCCTGTATGCTGAGAGTGGAGAACCACCTCTTTCATTACACCGGGACTACATGAACCTGATTTACTATACGAGACTACAAAGGATTAGAACTCCGGATTTTGTTTTGTTACTGTGGGCGGAGTAGTAATGGATATAATCATCTTTATTTGTAGGCTTCCTGTATACAGAGAAACGTAGGCCGTCGTCTTCCCGATGGATCAGAGTGTTTAAGAAAGGTAATTTATGATCCTCTTCCTCCTCCACGGTGAACTGCATTTTCTCGTGGACGGAGTTAAGTCGCGTCAGTGTATGTTGTAAGTACGACCTTTTGGGAGAAGCCAAGTTGAGTGTTTGCCAATAATATCCTTGTAATTATCCCTCTCCAGAGTCTCCATGAACAGGCAGGCCATGACTACACTCTGGGGGAGTCCATCCATAACTTCACCAGGCGAATGAAATTCTGCATCTGTCATAGAGACAGATGCAGAGAGGTGACCCTCTCGACTGCTCGGACTGCTCCGTCTGTGGGTACATTGGTGAAGAGGGATTTTACATCAAAACTGGCAAGCTTTTTATTTTTACACCCGGAACTCTGTAGAGTTCTTCAGGTGGGAATCACTGATGGCCCCCCCTGAGGCTAGAGGTCTCCTGGACCAAGATCCAGGATTTGGAGGGCCTACTAGGAGACCCTGTGCGGTCGGTATGTGCTTGCAGTGAAAACATTGAAGTCGCAGAGAGTTTTATATACCTCGGTAGTGCAGTTCACGACTCTGGGCTTTCAATGTAGCTTTCTGACTACATTTTTTTCTAATGATCAAGCGCCTTTCTCCTCCAGCAATATCCGGAAAACACAGGAAAATAATCAGTTATGAAATTTCACTTTGAAGAGGGGACTTATTTTAATCACGATATCAAACAAATTTTGCATACATTATATATATATATATATATATATATATATATATATATATATATATATATATATATATATATATATATATATATATATATATATATATATATATATATATATATATATTCATTTATTTATTCAAACTAGCATTTTTATACATACTTATATGTGTATATATATGCGTTGTGTATATGTATATATGTACATATATATATATATATATATATATATATATATATATATATATATATATATATATATACATATGTATTTTCCTATTTATTTTTATATGTATATATTTATACATATTTATATCATCAGCATCATCAGCCTCGCTCAGTCCACAGCAGGACGTAGGCCTCTCCCAATCTTTTCCATCTTTGACTGTCTTGCGTTTTTTACTTCTAGTCTTGGCTCTCAAATTTCGCTATTTCGTCGCGCCATCTTGTCATGGGTCCAGTGGCGTAGATAGAGGGGGGTCAGGGGGGGCGAAAAAAAACCCTCTAGAGCTAAACTGCCATTTTGTCGGAAAATTGCTAATCTTGTCGGAAAATAATCATGAAGAAGAGAAAATGCTTAATAAATTTTTGTCGGAAAATCTGCATTTCTCGCTCCCCCTATAAAATGTCCTATCTATGCCACCGCATAGGCCTGGCCCTTGGCCTCTTTATGTTATCTATAACCCAGTCTGTTACTTTCTTTGTCCATCTGTTGTCCTGTCTCCGACATATATAACCTGCCCATTGCCATTTTTATCTTTTTGATGCTCACGAGTATATCTTCCACTTTTGTCTGTTCACCCTCTCCATCTCTCTCTGGGTATTTATTAGTTTCCTCTCCAGTAATTTGATTGTAGTCCATAATAATAACAACAGAAATACGATAATTTTAATCATTATCACTATCATCACAACGGGTATCATCATAGGCATAACTATATCATAATACTTAAGATTTAAAAGGGTGCTGATGATATGGATAATAATACAAGTATAATGTTAATTTTGATAAGATAATAGTGTCAACGTTAATGACGAAAACGGTAATACTGGTGATTCTAACATGAATCATACCCAATATCATGATAAAGTTGGTGATTGTTACCATAATCCAATAAAGTTATTATAACAATCACTTATATTATCCTCGTTTTAATCTTAAATAGGTCAATTACGCACAGTTAGCAATTATGGGCATATAATTGAACGGGTTACCATAAATATTCCTCATCTAATACAATTTCTTATCAAGGTAATCTAATTCAATATGAATCGCTTCACACTCTATTTTTCACATACACACACACATAAATATATAAACATAAATACATATATAAACATATATATATATATATATATATATATATATATATATATATATATATATATATATATATATATATGTTTATATATATACACATATATATATATATATATATATATATATATATATATATATATATATATATGTATATATATATATATATATATATATATAAACATATATATGTATATATAAACATATATATATATATAGATAGATAGATAGATAGAGAGAGAGAGAGAGAGAGAGAGAGAGAGAAAGATAAACTGATAGATAGGTAGGTATGAATATAGATAGGTAGATAGATAGATTAAATGATAGATAGATATATCTTCCCTTATCTCTCTATCTACAGTTCATTCATTAGGATAAACAACTTGAAACCTGATGTAAATATTGTGCGAATCCTTTATTTTACATTTAGAAGGAGGAAAATTAGAAGAATTTTGCACGTCACACAAAATGTTTATTAATCGTTGAAAGTATAATCAATATGCTTTATGATTTTATATAACTAAAATTAATGATCATACATTTGCAATCAAAACTCTGTATGGAACGTTAGTAACAAATCTTAAAGTTAAAATATACACAGATTAAGGCCATCAGGATGTAGAGGAATGATGCATCAAAGAGTAGTGACTGCTTTGAGTTGCTTCTTGGTACAGTGTAGTTTTTCAAACCTTCATATATCGTTCTGCAATAGAAAAGAAAGGAGACCAAGTTACTAACATATTCCTTTTTTTTTTTTCTTCTTTTCATTTTTCCTACTTTGTTTCTGTTTTCTTTTTTTTATTCAGTGTTCAAGCTAAAAGAGGTAAAGAATTCTTACGTCATCATAGGGTTGATCCCTAAGCCACACCAGTTTTTGAAATCGTCATCGTCAATAGCCCAGTTCATAGCCCCAAGGTAGCCATTATCTCGAATATAGTCCACTTTGATCTTTAGGCTCTCGGGGTCTTCGTACCCAATCCACTGGTCTCCTGGAGAAAAGGGTGATTTTTTTAATACATATAGAGTTACAGCAGTGCTTTTTACAGTGTGAAAGTATGATCGTGTTATTATTATTTAACCATTGTTTTTTGTAAAGTTACGGGCTATTTGGGGAAATTTTGTATGTAACCGGTAAATATAATGAAATATAAAACTAGATTTATTGAAGATGAGACGACAGTTTCGGAACCACCTGGATTCCATCCTCAGGATGGCCTGAGGATGGAATCCAGGTGGATTCCGAAATAAATCTAGTTTTTATATTGTGGGTTTTTCTACCTTAGTATCAACACGGTAGAGTGTTTTCACCATTCATAATGAAATATGTACATTTCTTCAAATTTTTAATAATTGTGTTTAATAATAACTGAATAGCATTCCCTGCGCTGTGCGAAATAGCAGAAAAAAAAGAGAAAGAAAAGTAAAAGTAATTGAAAATTATAATATTTTTAAAGGAAAGCTTTGAGGACTGCTAAAAGTGTTTAATAAGATACAAAATAATAACAAGAAAATGTTTACATTAAACACACTGCATAGAATGTGTAAAGGTGTTCTCACATCTTTTGCTTTAATGGTATTACTCATGTAGACTAATGTACACAGTATTGTAAAGCATGCCTTCAAAAGGACAAGGAATTATCTTACCTTTGTACATATAAGGAACTAAACCTTCATTATCCCATTCTCTTGTCCACTCAGGGTCATTCATCAAGGTTGTACAGATCTAGTGTAAAAACTCCGATTAAGTATCATGTTTACAGTACTCATACAAATGAGTATTATGATCAAGGCACAAGATTTATACTGATATATTTCAAGGCAATCATGTCTAGGTCCAATTTATAAATAAATAAACACTTGCAAGTCTCTTGGTGTTAATTCAAAAATGGTAAACCCTCTCTTCAGTATAACAAAACTGGCGGAGAGAAGCAGCTTACAAGTACGACTCGCATGATATTGCTAACTGATAGCATGAATCTCTAATTATTGATTAAGACATGACAGATAAGCGAAAAAAAATGGCGTAGCACTGTCAGTCCGCGAGAAGGTTCTGCTCATTTCTCTGATAATCAGACTATAAAAGCTTCCTACCTCAAAGTATACCAGTACAGTAGGATCTCCTAATATAGGACCTGGATTCCCAGTTCCAGTGATCGGGGCATGGAGTCCATGTTGAGAAGGATCAGATAGTGTGAAGCTTCGTCCATAGAAGGGCACTCCTAGCACCAGCTTGTCTCGTGGGCATCCAAATTCCTCCCAGAGAAGTGAACCGTCACTCTGCTCGTCAAAGATTGGACTTCAGTTTCTAATTTATATTGCATATGATGTGGAATATCAAAGTGTGATCCAAACTGTTTTGTTATCTGATGATGGGAAAAGGTACTTGTGATGTTAGTCAACTCACCAAGTTTATTTCCTCGAGAATACCAAAGTCAAGGTCAGGTCTTCGATAGAGCATTGAATGCACGTCGGCGAAGTCATTCCACACTCCTCGTAGATCGTAGCCCATAAGGTGCACTGCATCGACTGCTCTGAAGTAATGTATTTATTCATGGTCGCTTAACCATAAAAAAAATATATATTTCTTGTTTTTATCATGCGCCCACCCGTTATAAAAACATAACTACATTGCAATCTTGGGAAAGACTATAACAGTACATCACTCCAGGATGTACATTTCATTAAATGCGTCAAATGAAAACTATTCTTTATTCATTTTGGCCACTGCCGCCGCTGTTAGCTGTACCTGCACAGTTCTGGGACGCTATATCCATCTTGCAATCTGTATCTCACGATAGGAACTGCCATGGTCAGCTCCAGGCCTTGGCTCTCCGCATCCAGGGCCGCCCGTAATTCGTCCATCTAATTAGAGAATGCAGCATCATTACGCTACTTAGTGGTCTTGTCTTAAAAATATATAATAATAACAATAGTAAAATGATAGCATATATCAATCTTTCTTTATTGAACTGAGGAGATGGGAGTTACCAGTAACCGAAAGTTTTCTTTGTCATCGGGGGTATCGGGATACTCCCAGTCTACATCAACACCATCGAACTTATACGTCTTTACAAGATCTGAAAAGATAGCAGGGTCATTTACGATTACACATCAACCAAATGGCTAACAGACTCGCACACATTATTAGGTTAGTAATGTTCAGAATAAGTAAAGTCAATTAAACTTTCTTTTACA